CTATAGCACCTTTCACAGACACAAACATCACAAAGTGCTTAACAGAGAGCAAAATAACTAAAAACAATAAAACATCACAAATATTAAAAAACAATTAAAACACAATAAAAGCACATTAACTAAAAGCCTGTCTTAACAACTATTAGTAAAGATTGCAAAAAAAGGAAAAAATAAAACTTGTTAAATTGTATTTTATTAAGTAAGTAAACTTTATTTCTATAGCACATTTCACAGACACAAACATTACAAAGTGCTTCACAGAGAGCAAAAATAACTAAAAACAATAAAACAGATCACAGATATAAAAAACAACAGTTAAAACACAATAAAAGCACATTAACTAAAAGCCTGTCTGAATAAAAATGTCTTAAGATGTTTCTTAAAAGAGTCAGAAGAATCTGAGCAGCGAAGGGACAGAGGGAGAGCGTTCCAGAGCCCCGGGGCCACCACCTGAAAAGCTTTGTCTCCACGGGTTTTATAATGGGTTCGAGGGACCACCAGCAGCATTTGATTAGAAGACCTCAAAGTCCTGGATGGACAGAGAGGCTTCAGAAGGTCCCGTATGTATTTGGGGGCCTGACCATGAAAGTTAAAACCAAAATTTTAAAATGACTCCTCAAATGCACAGGGAGCCAGTGCAGAGAGGCTTTTATGGGGGTGGCTGTGGCAGAGTGGTTAGGGGAATCGTTCTGGGACTGGAAGGTCACCGGTTCCCCGTCCAGCTGTCACAGTTGTTGTGTCCTTGGGCAAGACGCTTCACCCCTAATGCCTCTAGCTGCGTTTCCATTGCAAATGTGCGCAAAACTTTGTCGATATTCTGTTAATCTCGAAAAACAGTTTCACAACTGCGGTGTTTCCATTATGCTATTAAAGTCACGCGTGAATGTGTTTGTTCTCACGATAAGTCATTACAAACATGGCGGCAATGGAAGTAAACACATAGCATGTTGCTACCGCAACACTAGCGCTCATCGTCAGAGGAGACGTCGGCGTCTTTTATCGAGGCTTTCGAGTGACAAGTCTCTACTTGGGAGCGGCTACGTATGCTGTGTTTTTGGGAAATTGTAGTTGTTGAGTTTACTACTTTCTTTTACTACTTCTGTGATATTACTACTGCTTCTACTTCCTGTTACCTTCTTCGTCATTGCATTTTTCACCAGTAGAAACAGCCGGTTGTTGATCACGTGACTCCTGTGATGCGGAAAAAGTGTTTCCATTGCAGTTTTGCGAAAAACACCAATTTCGTTACGGCCGAAAAACCACCTCATCCTGGCGCAAAAACATTTTGTCGAAAAACGTAATTTTTTTCGAAATTGATGTGTTTCCATTGAACAAATTTATTTTGGAAATTCTAATTTGCCCATTTTCATGGTCAATGGAAATGCAGCTTCTGATGTGTGTCCCATCAGTGTATGAATGTGATTGGCACTGATTAGTCTCCATAGATTGATTGTTAGCTTTGTAGAGACCTAATAGAGTGCTGTGTGAATGGGTAAATGAGGACACAGATTGTAGTGTGAAGAGCTTTGAGTGTCCTGGATGGATAGAAAAGCACTACACAAGTACAGACCATTTACCATTTATTTTCTGTACAAAGGAAAAGCTGAAACGAAGTTGCTAAATCTAAAAAACAGAATCTATATAGCAAAGCATTAGTTAAAAGCCGAAAGCTTAAATAAAAAAAACTAAAATTATCAAAATGCAAGCTAAAAAAGAACAGTAGCTAAAAGCCAAAAGTAGCAAATGACTATGTATGAAAAGGTGAGCTAAAAATAAAAGACGAGCTAAAGCCTAATAGTAGAACAGTAGCTAAAGGTAGTGATGTGCAGACTGATACTGAAATATCGATACTACCGATACCAGAACTTTATGTTCTGGAATCCATACTAAAATCAAAGCATCGATACTTTGATACTTTAGTTATTTCACATAATGTTTATCATTAACAGGAAAATAGTGGAAAATAACTGAACTATTCCAATCTTGTCTTAATCATATGTTGTTGGAGGGAACTACTTTTTCTTCCGCTTGAGTAATGCATCAGCACAGTGGCACGTGCTCCGTCAGTCACTCAGTCTGTAGATGTTGGTACGGCAGGTCATTTTAACATAAAATCTGCTTCGTCTGACTGTCTGTAATTAAATTCCAGATGAGAGGTTCCCAAACTTTTTCATGCCACGGCCCCCCAAACAGCATTAGCTCTGGCCAAGGACTTTCTTGCAAACCCACAAACATTGCTACAAAATATACAAAGTAACAACCTTTAGAATATTTTTCCCACTTTTATTCATTATTCAAAAATTATTAGATTCCTTTAGAATAAGAATTGTGCTAAAATATACTGTATATACTGTATATAAGGTTAGGGTTAGAAAGACTTCTAAATTAAATGAATTACTCTCTCATGTATTATTTCTAAAGCGGTTATTTGAAAAGTGCATCTTTTTAAGATTTACCAGACACATTGTGTGTGTTATTACAAAGTATCAGTATTGGATCATTATCGCCGGTACCAGTCAAATTTTACTTGGTATCAGTATCGAACCTCATTAGCTAAAGGCCTAAAAGTGTAAAAGGTTAACTAAAAGTTAAATGTAGCAAAAAGCTAACCAAAAGTAACAGAATGACAGCTAAAAGTAGCAAGTGGCTACCTGACTGTGTTAAAAGATGAGCTTAAAATAAAAAGAGATTGGATAAAAGCTTAAAATAGTATAGCAGTAGCTAAAGGCCTAAAAGTGTAAATGGTTAATTGAAAGTTAAAAGCTAGCCAAATGTAGCAGAATTACAGCTAAGAGCTAAAAGTAGCATAAGAAGACCAAAATAGATGGTCTATGGGAGCGTGTTACAAAGAGAACAATGTTTCTGGAGCTAAATAAATCCTCGCTTTTTATAATTTAACGTCAACAGGTCAGAAAATGTTTGAAACGTTTTGATTGTGTGCGTATCATTTTCTCATTCTTTTTTTTCTCTCCCTCACTTTCTGCCTCTCAGCCATTTTGTGTTTTGTTCAGCGAGCCAGACCTTTTTTTTTTCCCTCCTCTTTTTGTGAATGAAGAACTCTGCTGTGTAATTACCTGGGCTGTGCTTTCAGTGTGGCCTGTTCCGTCAGCTCCACACCCACTGCACACACACACACACACACACACACACACACACACACACACACACACACACACAGACGAGCCAGCGTTTTTAACACACACACATGCCTTCTCAGCTGGAAGTGCACAGCTGCTGCTGTTTACCCTGTCGGGACCAAAAAAAACATCCTGTACAGTTCTCCGGGTGAAAACCTCCCCTCGCATAATAAACACGAGCCCTCTGCACAGTTTGAAGCTCCACTTTGGGTGGTTTCTGTGGCCATCAAGGCAAAGGTCCCCTCCAGCAGCCCAGCTTGATGGACACTTCAATATGTTGTAGATTAGCTGGACTCCTTTGGGTCGGCATTAGAAATTTAAAGCTTTTTTTTTCTTTCTTTTTGCGGACGTCGCATTCTTAGATTTCCTCTCCGTCCAAAGGGTACAAGTGATGGCTAACATCTGGTTACCAACAGGAAAGAATGCGGAGCCCTCAGTGTGTGYATGCTCTCTTAAAAGAGGTGTGACATTTGCTTTCATCGGCCCACAGACGTCTCCCCGGCCCGTACGCTTGTTTAGCTTTCAGCCTGACTTTGACGGAGGAAGTTTTGGCTGCTGTTGTGTCTGGAGGAGCGAAGAAAAGTGGGCAAGGACACTTCAGGCTTCCAAACGGCTGCTGGAATGCAGTCGTGTGTGAGCGTGTGTTTTTGTGTCGGCGTAAGTGTGCGTTTCATAACGTGGCTGTCTGCTGCGCTGCTCTGAGACGTTTAAGCGTGTTTGGCTGGCACAAATAAAAAAAAAATAAAAACCCATTCCTGCACAGACAGGAGCGTTAGCTGCTGCCTCAGAGGGTTTGGGCTGGGTCCAATCACAAAGGAAACTAGAACTGTGTTTACATCTGTGCCAACCTCTGAGTTTGTTTCTTTTTTTTTTTTCTGTTTGTTTTCTTGTAGCGGTGGCATTTCACAGTCCTCCCGTCACCATCAAGAAGGAGCCACAGAGTCCAGGTTCTGACCCCAGCCAGTCCTGTAGCCACAAACAGACCTTCAGCTACCCCAGCGGAGAGCAGTGCCTTTATGCCAGGTAGTCCTCCAGATTCAAAAAACCTTAAACAAACTATTCCATCTACCCACATGTTTATTTGAATCATCATTTATTCACAMTATTCAGATCATTTTTTCTTCTGTGCGGTTTTATTTTAAAATTTTTATTCATTTATTTATTTTTTGTATGTATCTTTTTCAACAATTTTTGTTTTATTTTAACAATTCATATATCATATATAAAACTTTCAGCTCCTTCAGGACATTCCGGCTATCCCCTAATTTACACTACATGTGTAAATTAGGGGATAAGACTCCAGCTATTCCCTAATTTACACTACATGTGTTCCGGCTCTGCTCTGCAGAGCCGGAACACATGTAGTGTAAATTATGGAATAGCCAGAATGTCCTGACATTCCGGCTATCCCCTAATTTACACATGTAGTGTAAATTAGGGGATAAGACTCCGGCTATTCCCTAATTTACACTACATGTGTAAATTAGGGGATAAGACTCCGGCTATTCCCTAATTTACACTACATGTGTTCCGGCTCTGCTCTGCTCCGGTCCGACCTCCGCTGCAAATACGCACCATTATAATCAATGAGAGTGTTTACACTGGCTGCGCATGGCAGAGGTGAGCGGACAGTGATCCGGCAAAATTAGAACAAATCCTAATTTTGCCRGACACCGGAGCTGCTCTGGAGTCAATTTTTAAAGATTATGTCACACCAACAGGAAGAGAAACCAGCACAACATCCATATTTACAAAATAAGACACTTTTAGGCGGGATAATTTGTCGGAATAATGTCGAAATCCCAGCTATATTAATCAATATAAGGGTATATTTCTACACAAATGCTGTCAGAATGTATCGTTCTGTTTGGGAAGCAGATGGAAACATGTAACATGAAGCATATGTGTACACACACGATACATTTGGATTTTATTTTGAAATCTGAAGTTTCAGAAAGACGACAGCGAGACAGTTTCAACTTATCAAAAGCTTTTAAATCAATGTTTTCAGCTGTGTTTGGAGTTCGTCTTTCACAGAATTAATTATTTTTTGCTGTGACGTCCACATTAATCTGAATTTATCGCGCAATCTCCCGACACCCTCCCTCCTCTGCGTGTTGGAGCGGAGCGGACACTGTATAAATTGGGGCACAAACGAACAGCTGCGAACTGCGCAGCGGAGACACATGTAGTGTAAATCCGGGGTATGACTTTTTGTATTTCAGCTATTTCACTTTTTCAGCCATATTTTTTCCCACTGAAAATGAAATCCTTACGATGTTTCTAAATCTTTACCGCACCTTACACGTTTTGTTCTGGTTCTGCTCTTTTTAAATTCCTTGTGCTAATTTTAGCTTATTTTTTTTGCTATTTTTAAGGTTTTTTCTGCTATTTCACCTATAATTCTGCTTCTTTCTGCTATTTTCTACTTTTTTGTGCGTCTTTCTGCTAATTTGAGCAATTTTCTACTAACAATTGCTTTCAGCTATATTCAGCTATTTGCTGCAATTTTAGCTAATTTTCAGCTGTTATTAGCTAAAGTTAGCTTTTTAAGCTAATTTATCATTTTGGTCACTATTTCAGCTTCTTTCTGCTTAGTTCAGCAAACTTTTGCTTCCTTTTGATAATTTAGGAATTTCTAGCTACATTTTAGCTGTTTTACTGCACATTTTTTATCATTTTACAACAAATTGTCACTTGTTTTTACTTTCCTGCATTTCTTTTGCTATTTAGACTTTTTATACCCCTTTCACCATCTGGGTGCAAATTTCAACTTGTGTGTGCTAACTTTAGCTTGTTTTTAAGCTGCTCCTTTCAGCWATTTTTTAACTGTTTTGCTATTAAACATTTTAGCAACTTTCAGCTAAAGAGTTCAGCAATAAGCACTCACACTAGCATTTTTTGCAGGAAATGCAATTTCTCTGTTATCTTCAGGATTTCTGCATTCATTGGAACTCAAACTGTTTAGAAAACTGCTGCCTTTTTTTTCAGAATGACTTTGTTTTCCACAGAATTCAGTCAACAGTTTTCTGAGCTGCTACAACATCAAAATGAAGCATTTTCCACAGAATTGTTTCACATGATCATCCACTTAAAAATGCATTTCCATTAGAAATTCATGCTGCAGTAGAGCTCGTGTCGTCACGTTTCATCACTTTAAACTCTGATAATTGCTGTTCCATTTATTTCCTTTGCTCTTAAAAGTTATTTGTTTTTGCACAGATTTATTTTTTGCTCATATCGACACAAGTAGAACAAATTAAATAATAAAAAACAGCAATAACTTTACTTAAAACAGACAACACATAGGGAGCAGCTTTTGTAGTTTCACAAAACAAAGATGTCATGAGCTCACATCTAGCCTGATCTTTGACTCAGTTTATATGTAAATCTGTGTCCTCATGCATTATTTATTTATTTATTTATTTATTTATTTATTGCAGTGCCTATGAGCAGAAAAGGGCTGCAGGAGGGGCAAAGAGCTCCTGTCCAGGGACCCCCATGTCTCCCATGCAGCAGCATTACTCCCCGAAACCCGCAGCAGCCGGAAGGCCGGACGCCGGCTACCTGAACCCAGCCGCCACCTCCCAGCCCCTCCCCAGCAACACTTACCACATCAACGCCAGGTGGGACGGCGAGAAAATCAGATAACTTTGATAAATAATCAACAAATGAGATCCTTAAAACGTGTGTTTTCTTTTTCAGTTCCAGGTTTCAGGGCCCTTCAGCAGAGCCTATGTGCCCCCCGTTCCCCCCAGCAGGGCAGGCCTTTCAGCGTATGACATCTGCCCCAGCAGGCAGCAGCGGGGG